CGCCGCCGCCGCCGCCACTGCTGCCTCCGCCGCCGCCGCCGCCGCCGCCGCCGCCTCCGCCGCCGCCGCCGCCGCCGCCGCCGCCGCAGGAAGGCGGCTCCCAGTCGCCTGGGGGTGGGGTAGAGGCGTTCCAGTCGTAGTCGTAGAGGCGCTGCAGGTTGTCGAACTGGCGGCGGCACGAGTGCGGCGAGACGTTGAGACGGTCCGCCTGCGCCTCGAGCTGGCGGCGCAGCTTGGAGGTGGGCTTCCTGCCCACCAGCTCACGCAGCACACGCTCGTCGAACGTGAAGTACGCGTCGACCAGCGCGCGCCGCTCCATCGGCATCAGCTGCCAGCGCCGCTGCGTCGCGAGCGTGGCGGGCTCGTCGAGGCAGGGCTTGAGCATCGCAAAGAGGCGGTACTGCTCCGCCGTCTCGGAGAGGACGAGGCCGGCGAGCATCTCGCGCGCCTCGCCAGGCCGCAGGGAGAGCGCGGCGGCCGCGGCGAACCCAGCCTTGCCCGCCGCGCCCTCGTCGCGCTCCGGCTCGTGGTATGAGGAGAGAAGCTCGCGAGCCGCCTCGGCGACGGACCAGCCCTCGAGCCAGAGGGAGAAGGCCGCGAGGTCGAGCGAAAGCGGCGTGCTGATGCACACGTCGAGCGTCAACTCGAGCTCGGGCTTGTTCTCGGGCTTCGCCGCCATGTCAAAAGAGAAAAAACCCACCGGCATCGAGAGAGAGAGAGAGAGAGAGAGAGAGAGATGATCAGGAGCAGGCGCACATCGCTTCCAGGGAGGGGGGCGCACCTCTCTCCCCCCCACATGCTAGGGGGGGGGTCCGACCCCCCCCAGCACCTTCACCACATGCTAGGGGGGGGTCCGACCCCCCCCAGCACCTTCACCACATGCTAGGGGGGGGGTCCCGACCCCCCCCAGCACCTTCACCACATGCTAGGGGGGGGGTCATGGCCGAGGACCCCCCCCAGAGACTCGTGGTCAGATCCTGTGCGGGGCATTGATTTTGCACCTCATTTCGCAGCCTTTTTCGAAGAAAATCATCCTGTGGAGCTACATGGGCGCGAGAATAGCTCCGCCGTTCATGGAGGCAACCGATGCGAGTCGACTGGTGTGTGTCGTCGTGGTTTCGTATCAAGAATTCTCTCTCTCTCTCCCTGGAAGCGATGTGCGCCTGCTCCGGCGAGGGCCACTGCTCCCTTGGCTGCTCGCTTCGCGGCTCTGTGTCCTGTGAGATGAGAAGTCAGATGCCACTTTGAAAGCTTTCTGCTCGTGTGGCTCTCTCTGGAGTTGCGAGGGTTGCCCCCGCCCCTTGGCCTTGCCGCAAGGCCCTTGGCCCTTGGCCTTTGTTTGGTATTGCTAAAAATCTCTC